TGTTTAGTCAGCCTGATTTAGTTTTAAGCATTAACATAAAAGTTATCAATTTATTATGTTTATACAGAATAACATAGGCATCAACATTAACATAAACATAGTGAAGATATATAAAAACCAACTGTTTGTATTCAAGCTTAGTTATGGCTGTGGCTATGCATGTATAATTTGCTTGAATGTGGACAATATGGCTATAAACTATAGGATCATTAAAAATATCGATGCAGTTTTTAATTGCAGTTGAGTCTTCTGGGTGAAAGTCGCAGATGATATCTTTAATTTCGTTAAAATTTGTCGCAATAAAAGTAACACAGTTTAACCAAGTGCATCAACGTGTTAAAACTGGTTCTGATGGCAATGGAATTCCTGGAAAACGATCCTTATAAAATTGAACCCGAAGAGGAGCTTTTACAAAAACCTTTTTAATATTTTTAAATCATTTACGAGTGGAAATTCATTCCTAACCGTCTCAGCCACCCTATTTAAAAAAAATGGGCTAAGCATGTGCAATGGATAAAATTCGGATAAAATATTTTTAAGTTTCCAGTTGCATTTGCCATGTATGCAGCACCATCAGTGACCATTAATAAAATATTGTTTGTAGACACTTGTCTAGGTAAATAAAAATTTGTTAACGAATCGTTAATAAATCTGGTTATCGTTAAATTATTTGTTTTGTCTAAAACTTTAACTGAAATTAAATATCCTTTACCAGGGATATATTTATGTAGTATGCCTATTATAAAATTTGCAATATAGCGCCCCTGCGTATCAGTTGATTCATCAACCGAAAACCACACAGGTTTATCGTTAATTTCATTTCTTATAAAATTCAATGCGTTATCAAAATTAACTTGAACATATTTTTTTCGCAAAACGGAAGAACTAGGTAAATTTTCTTCCTTAAAATAGGTTTTAAAAAAATTTCTAAACAGAGGATTATCCCATTTGTGAATTAGAATATTACAAGATACAAATAAATTGCACAAATATCTATTAAAATTGTCCTGATGATAAGAATTTTATGAAGCCATTTGCTATCAATCATCCCCTAATTGCACTAATCCTTAATACCTAGTAGTTTAGAAAGCAAAATACCCACTTGGTTAGTATTTCGTGGTAAAATGCAGGTACAATTGAAAAATATTGTTATGTTTACAAAATAATGATAAATAAGCAATATTTTATTTTTAAATATGCATTATTATTTAAGATATGCAATATAAAATTCTGCACTAAATATGCAGGCATGCACTTTATATGCATTTTGCATATAATCCAAGCTCTAGTGATTATGACTTGAAACGACGCGACGTCCGGTGCTTGCAGGGAGGTCTCACAGGACATTAGGACCTAACTTGTTAGGAACTACATAAAAATTTAAAAAAAATCCTTGTAAATTAAATAAATATCTCTTAAATATATACCATGAGTGGTACTTGAAAAGCCACATCTATAATTTGGTATATAGTTGTAAATATTTATATTTCAATTTTGGCACCTAGTTAAAGAACACCTGCATGTACCATGAGAGGAAATATATGTTACCCCTCCAATGTTATGCTGATACTTAAATAAATACTGTTTTTTACCTTATTCTGTAAAGAGTTTATACAAGTTGGTCCAATTTTGATATTTCTATTTAAAAATATAATCGATGACGTCATTACGCTCACACAAATGACGTCATAATCAAAGAAATATGTGACAAAACGTACGTTTAAAAAGTTTTAGGAAATTTCGAAATAAATGATTTCTTTGATAAAAATCAATTGGTGTTAAGTCTGGTCATAGAGAAGTCAATCTCGTGTGGTTTTTCACTGATTTAATAATTATTATTGCGCTTTCAATTTTCTTTTTTTTTTTTTTCAGAATTCGGCTGTACGAAATGTAACAAATATTTCAAGAACAAAAAATGTTTGTATGTACATTCTAACGTTTATTGTGGGAAAAGTCCAAAATACTGCTGTCCGTTTTGTCCGTACAAAGCTTTCATTACAGCTAATATTAAGAAGCACGTCAGCAGACGTCACAAGCCGACAAACTTTTGAAAATAAACCCATAGGAGATTTTCATCGATATCAAAGACGAAATTTTAAATAATAAACAGATTTTAAATATTTTACAAATTTGACACCAATCGACCAATAACTTAAAAATCGTTTATAAAAGAGTACAAATATGTTATTTTATTTAATTTTGCAAGAAATTCTGGAACATTCCTTCATTTAAATAAATAATAAAAATCTAAAAAACCAACCCAAACATTTTTTTATTTTATAAAAAACCATTTTTCATATTAAAAAATCTGTTCTAAGTTATTTATATTTTGTTTTTGTTTTTTAGCTGGCGTCAGTTGTGAAAAATGCGGAAAATCATATAAAAACAAAAGCTGTCTGTACATACACAGGACTGTATATTGCGGTAAGGAACCGAAAATGTTCTGTCCTTTCTGTTCTTATAAAACATTCATAACCGCCAATATCAAGAGACACATCATGTTGAAGCATAGAAAAAACACCATCAGCGGAGATAACCAGAAAAAAATCCAATGAGGTCGAATCTGGTGTTCCAGTCGTATATCGGCGGTAGACTGGTGACATTCTGAAAATTAGAATTAATTGTTTATTGATATTAAAATAGGTATTAAGTAAATTTATTTGATATTACTCTGAAAAAAGTTTTCTTGGCTAGAAAAATAATTTTGACGTAAACAAATTTTGTGTTTCACTAGGGGCACCAAAAAATTGATGTTGATCAAAGAGGTTAAAATGGGTAGTTGTTGGGTGGGAAGTACACGTTCGTTTTCAAAAAAGTCAGTTACCTTATCACATATTATGGACTCCAATACTTTACAAACTATTGGTACAAGGCTTATCGATCTATAGTCATTTGGGTCAAGCTTATTGCCTTTTTGAATATGGCAGTCACTGACGCAGTCTTCCATATAGATGGCAAGATGTGAGAATTAAAGGAAGAAGTCATTATATGGGAAATAGGACAACAGAGAGTGTCAGCACAATATTTTAAAGGAAAAGAGGAGATACCATCTACAACACACATTGGCATTTTCAACGTTAATTTCCAAAATTTAAGTCACTAAAAATACCAAATTAATTCTCTTTGACACAATAGACTTGAATTAAATTTGGACGAACAACACTGTGACATGTGACGTACTTAACTGTGATTGGTCGGTGGGATCATGCGCGGTGTCTTATGTTCTATTTACGGTTTGTATAAACTAAGATGTTGATTTAAAATTAGACTTTAATTGACATTTCGAACAATGGTTTTGTAGGAATTATTTGCTTTAGGCAAACAAATCATTTGTTTGATTTAAAATTCAAATTTATATTAAAATATTTTTTTTGTAGATATTAATAAAATAGGTTAATATTTAATGAAAAAAAAAAAAATGTTTAAATTAACAAAATATTTAAAGTTTAATTTTAACCTACTCAGAAATTTGGAAAAGTTTCAAATTAAACAATGAATTTGGTTGGAACATCGCGCTGCCACTGTCTCAAATGTCCTTAGCAAATTTTTTTCAAAACAATGTAGGATTAACTCTATTATTTTGTCATTTCAAATAAATAATTTATTTTCAACACGATTCAAATAAAAAAAAGGTTGAAAATATTAAAAAATATTCTGTCAAATAAACCATTATTTGTTTAATCTAAACAAAATTATTTAAATTTGATCAATTTTGAAATAAATAATTATGTACTTATTAGGTACCTGAATTTGAAACAAATAAAAATTTATATACAAACAACTCCAAGAAAACTCACTGTTTATGCATGGCTTTGATTAATAAAAAATTTCAATTCCGTTTGTAGTTTTATTTAATAACATTCGTGAAAAATCCAATGCTTTCACATCGGGCGCGTTATTCTGTCGTTTCTAAACTTTTGTAAGTAGTTTCAATATCGCATATTAGATAAAAATTTTATAGTTTCAGCTGGATATAGTTGTCACAAATGTGGGAAAACTTACAGTTCGAAGAGTTCTGCCTACCATCACGCTGCTGTTTATTGTGGAAAAGAAGCATCCAAATTCTGCCCGTATTGTCCATATAAAACATTCATAACTGCCAATATTAAAAGACACATAGTGTTAAAGCATAAACATGTATGAACATAAGTTTTTATTATGAAAAAGACTTAATCTTCAAAAAAATCCAATAATGTCAAATCCGGCTGTTCTTTTTATTTCTACATATTGCTGTAAAATAGATTTCGATAAGCTAGATGAAGCAGCTCTGTATTTTTTTTTTATATATTGTTTGTAGATAAATTAATAAATATTTTTTTTAATTTGAGCTTTGTTTTTTGTTCTTCAATTCCTCGTTTACAGGTTTTTGTTAAACTGGATAGTGTCAATTTAAACCTACACATTTCCATTTCCATGTCTATTTAAATAATAATTTTTGTTATTAGGCTTTGGAAAATATGTATTCTACAGTGAAATTTTATTTAGCAAATCTTGGCACTTGGCCTATCTAGACCACATTAAACATAAGTTGTTAATATAAATATATGTTGTGTACTAACCAAATTTATTTCAGTTCTAGATGGATTATTGTACACTTGCCCAAAGTGCAAGAAGTCTTACCACATAAAATCCACCTTCTTAAGACACATAAAATTCCAATGTGGAGACAAAGGAGGAATGTTTACTTGCAGGCTGTGCTTGCATAAATGCAATTACAAGAGCAATCTGAAAAGTCATTTGTTTCACAGACACAAAATTCTAACGAAAGATATAGATATGTTTATTTTATGAATATATACAGAATAAAGTTTCTATTAATTTCTCAGTAGTTTTTTGTACCTAATTACATTGTGTAAGAAGCATTGGTTGCGTGGTCCTGTTGCTTATTACTTTTTTGTGCTTATTTAAAAAGTTTATATCGAAAATATTAAGCCTCTTCTCTAAAATATTAAAAAACAATGTTATATTTCTTTTCAACATTAACAGTTCCTACTGATTAAATGGATCAATCAACTGAAGCAGGTACAACCTCTCTGTCAGTTCTGTTTGTGATTGCATAGATATGAACGCAATTGTTTGATTTAACTAACGCATTTGATGTAATGAATCTTAACTTCGTTTCTGAAAAGATTTAAAGACTTGGTGGTACTATGTCTTGTTAGATTATACACTATGTTAACCTACTGATCCTTAATTATATTTGCCCGTGCGAGAAATAAAGAGAAGGTCTCGTAAACCGTGATTGGACAGATGTATACTCTTTTACCGCTAGTAAACTGGCGCGTATTGTTTTAAATCTGTCTAATCAATAGCATCGCTTGTTCTATACTATACATATTGTATATATTAACCATTCGCTCATAATTTAAATGCAACATAAAAATGTACTAACTAATTTAATTTTATATTTATTACTCCAAACATTGTACATACTTATTTTTTATGTAAATATTACAATATATCTTATTTATGACTTGTATTTATGTATCTAAACTGTACAAAATGTAGTTTTTAGATCACCAGAAATCCCAAAAATTGTTTTAATAGCTACAATGGTCTCTGTAACATTTTTAAATAACCATTTTTAGGAGGTCATCCTTGTTCAAAGTGCGGCAAGATCTACAAAAACAAATCATCTCTAGGAAGACACCAAAAGTACGAATGTCAAAAACTTGGGGCTTTCAAATGCGATTATTGCCCAGCTAGGTCTAAACATGACTATAACATGAAAAAACACATGATGGTGTGCCCTTATAACACGTCGTTGAAGGAAAAATGTCATTTTTCCTTTTTCTGAAAAATTGTATTTGTGATTAAACATGACAATAAATGATAATGTTTTTTTTTTGTATTTTAGTTATTGATTGGTATACTAAGTTTTCATGGGCATTAAATACATAGGATATATTATATTCTAATTCGACCAGGCTATATCAAATAATAAATAAGTTCTAAGTTAAAGGATCCTGGATTCTTTGGTGAAATTGTAACCAATATAATCAAATAATTAATAAGTCAATAACTTAAAAGCTATTAAAAACTTTTAAACAAGTTAGTCACAGAAATAATTTTGAAAAATTGCCATTAGAAATTCCTTCATTATCAAAGACCACAATCCTGGCCTTTAAGAGAATCTAATCAGAATCTGTCGGCAATATAAATATGTAATTGACGGTCTTTTAATTTTATTACTGTCAGATTCCGACCAGATTCACCTAAAGTTAATGATCATGGTCCTTAAAAAATGTAGTCGAGGACCTCTAAGTGCTCTGAAAAAACATAAAAAAGATTTCCAATTTGGGTTTTAACAGAAACATTCTATCATTGTCCAAGTGCACAGATTCATAGTTGTCATAGAATACGTCCTTGAAGGAAAACAAGTCCGCTTCGCAATAATTTTAGATGTTGCTCAAGCCTTTGACAAAGTGTTGCATGAAGATTTGGGTCAAAAACTAAATAAAATGCTTCCGAAGCAGTATGTATTTCAGACAGGCTTTTCAGAATCAATAAGATGAGAGCTATAGTGCCCCAAGGAAGTGTTCTTGGACCCAGTTTATATCTCTTCTATACTAGTGACTTGCCAACTCTCGAAGATAGCTACATTCACTGATTAGATTAGATTTAAAAGGAGTTGGATAATATTTGTTTTTGTCTGCCACGATCTTTTCAGATCTATTGTGGCACTTCACTAATGATACTACTCTATTTTCTGATGATACTGCTCTCCTTTCTGATGATACTGCAGTTGATAGATGATACTTGCAGTTGATCAGAACCAAGAAAGATCATGTAAATTTGACTGTTAAGAAAATAGCAGCCCCTGCCTCTCTAAATTTCAACGAATATACTTTACCTCATGAGCTAAATGCAAAGTACCTACATATTAATAATGCCTAATAAAATATTAATCTACAATCTTAAGACCATTGTGGATTTAGGACAGTTAATTATGGGAATGCGTCAAAGAGAGCAATATTAAATATATTCAAACATTTCAAAACAAAGTATTGCGCAACATAGTGAACTCTCTTTGGTATGTACGTTATGTAGATATTCATCAAGACCTTGGAATTCCAACAGTGAAAGAGAAGAGATCAAAAGTTTTGCTGGTTAGAATAAAGCGAGTCTTATATGTGAAAGCAGAGCACTTAGTTTGAGATCATTTCAGCAATGGTTAGGCCAAAACTTGAGGGTTTGAGTCATATAACTCAGAGGAGACTAAATAAATTAATTGTTGTTGAAATACCTCAATAGTTTGCTCAGTGTTCCATTTGGTTTTTGCCTCGAGCCCTTTCTGGCTTTTCTTGCATTGTTCCGAAATCGACAAGATGATTACGTCACCCTTTCTGCTGCAACACAGCTATCTTCAAAAACCAATAGATAATCACACGTGATAACCGAATTACCGTAATGAAAGAATGATTGGTCAAACTGTAAGAAACAGATATGCTACCAAGCCATCTTGATTTTCGTGTTTAAACCAGAAGTACTTCTCTATTTACAGAAACAACAGCTTTCCACACGGTTTGAAAGATCCAAGCCAAGTTATCATGTCCATGTGATGCAAAAAATATATTTATGTGAAACTTCGTAAATAAAAGTACTAGTTATAACAGATGCATTTGAATTTTAACCATACTTTCTAACAATCAACTTGTACCGAAAGATTCAGCTCTTAAGAACAGTCCATCAGAACAATTTGATCCAATTGATCCAATGTCAAGTATTCAGATTTATATCTCAAACTCTCACAATTGTTAAGAAAATATATATAGTGGAAAGGCTTGAAGCCAGAAATTAGGCAAGGCTTTAATATCGATAGGTCTTAGCATCACACTGGCAGATCGATGCATATACTATAAACTAGATTACGTAAAAATGTTTGTAGTAATTTATGTCAACAACTAATCTTCTCAACTCATCTTTCACCCATTTCTTTTATTACGAAGACTGTTCTACCTTTTGATCTTGTACCATCTCATACTTTTGGGTGCTCACCAGTAATCCTAATTACTTGGGTTTCAGCAAGCCTTGGAGGTAATATTATCACGTCATGACGTGCTCTATTAACAAATGTGTCTCTAGAGCAAAACTCTCATTCAATCATAATCTGTGTGATCTGTCATAATTTGGGATTTTTTTAAATAAAAATGTGACCAACTATGTCCCAGGGGATAACGGATAAGTGAAATAAATATACAACTATAGGCCTGTTCTACCTTTTGATCTTGTCCAATCTCATACTTTTGGGTGCTCACCAGTAATCCTAATGACTTGGGTTTTAGAAAGCCTTGGAGGTCATATTATCACGTTATGACGTGCTCTATTAACAAATGTGTCTCTAGGGCAAAACTCTCATTCAATCATAATCTGTGTGATCTGTCATAATTTGGGATTTTTTAAAATAAAAATGTGACCAATTATGTCCCAGGGGATAACGGATAAGTAAAATAAATATTAAACTACAGGCCTCAATTGCTTTAAACTTGGCTTCGTATCCGTTAACCGTATATGGGTTCTGCTCTTGGTATCATACCCTAACGCGTCAATGTACAAAGTCTGAAGGAATACAGTTTTTCTCAAAATAAATATATTATAAAAACAACTATACAAAATAGGTTACAACCCGACACATGCAAATATGGCCGACCTCAAAACTATAATATTTTTTTAGGATAGAGCATTTCTAACCTCGATTTGTTCAAATCGCAATTCAACCTTTCGCGATTGAGATCCAGAGCCTCAGATCGGAGTCTCCGCATTCTTGAGTCGCTATTGAAAATCTCACACCGGGAAGGTCTCCTGTGTCTCCTAACGTGACAATATCTATCCCCTATTCGGTCGGATAACCCTGTTTTTTCGTCCTTTTTTATTGAGTCTAACACACAATTAAGACAAAAGAAAAGAAACTAAGATACATTACTGTCTTTAACAAAACCAGCCAAAACTGCAGCATTATATCAATTTTGATTAGGTGGTAGCAAGTTAAATTTAAAAGTAAACGATTCATTCATCTCGTCACCTTTGTAAAACACTTCAGGGTCATCCAGCCCTGAAGAAACTTGCCGATAACTAGGAAATTGATTATAAATAAATAGGTAAAAGAAAATAAAGACGTATTTAATAAATACATCTAAATTGGTCTGACATTTATTCCGGTTATACTACCGGATTCAAACGGATAGAAGAATATTTTCCACTGATTTTTCTTTTTTTTTTTCAGATATATTGTTTTTCTTTACTGACGATGGTAGATTCGGTTGCATGCAATGCGGACATTCCTACAAACAGAAATCCCATCTCAGAAGACACATGAAATACGAATGTGGAGTCGAAAGGCAATTTAAATGCGACGTGTGCTACCAAAGTTTTAGGCATTATGAACATTTGAAGTGTCACAAACTGTCCAGAAAGTGTCAAATTAAGACGGTTAAGGGTGAAGTTACTTGGCATTTGTAAACGCTTATTTGCGATTTAAGATAAGCGATACGCCCTCTGGGGGTACATTTAAAAATATGTGTAAGTAGACTCAGTGTTGCCGTTGTTGTTAAAATTGAAACAAATTTATTACTATTTTATTAAAGTGGAACTCAAAAATATAATTACGAATGTCAAAATTTCAATGACAAAGGTAGAGCTCGATTTTTTTGTGAAGAGCACATTTCGTCATAGCTATGCCACAGTTCGCGCAGTACGTCATAACTTTGTGGAGCTTTAGTTGATGACGCTGGGCTGAAATCTGCTGTGGTAGGGGTACCTGACATCTTAGCAGTTAATGTTAAATTTTAACTATTCGTTAGTTAAATTGCTGATGAACTTTAAATTAATGAAACAACTAAAAGTTTAAATAAATAATATATTTTAATTTAATTTGTATAATTTTAAACATTTTCATCATCTTCATCTTCATCATCTTCCAAGTCGGAAATATCGGATTCCCACTTATCGGATGACCCCGTGTTTACACTAAATATGAGGGAATCTGTAAATTCATGCATAAGGTGTTCTCTTTGAATATATGC